AAATACAGCAAGGTAAAGGAGAACTCTGCTTCCAGCTGGATGAGCTAGTTTGCTACAACTAGGTTTTAATTTAATGAAAGTTGCAGGTTTAAAACGATTCAAAACCTTGCTTAAAAAAGATTTAAAAAAATAAACTTTTAAAATCTATGTCAACCCTCACCAACCCCATTCAGTTTAAAATAGAAATGAAAGGCAAACATTTGTGTATAGATATACGAAACAGAAATACTTTTATTTCCCCTTTTTAATAAGTGATCACACACCCGCTGTTCTCAGCTGCAAAAGAACTGGGTGGAGAAACAGCAGCAGAGTGGTCTTCCCAGTGAATGGCATGGCAGAAGGGCGTGTCAGGACAAGACTGATCATTGAAGACCAGGCTGAGTTCCTAGCACAGCTAGAGAACTGACCATGCTGTGCTCTCCTGTCTAGTGTGACCAGTAATAGGAAAGCAGAGGGACTGGTAGGAACACTGGGGATTTCACACAAAGGAAGCAACACAAATGGAACAGGATATTTTTTCATATAAGTACATGGTACAGCAGGCACATATCAGGAATATGAAATGTTGGGTTTATATCTTTAAGGATATAAAGATTTTTTGATCTTTTTTGCACTCTCGTTTTGATTTGCTGTAAAATAAAAGTGAATAAAACAAAATGGACAAAAATGATTTTCTGTTGCCATATAATTGTAACTTTGAATTTGGTCTTTGCACAGACTCTTCTTTCATTATTAATTTCTGTCATCTTCATTGGCCAAATGTTGCAGCCTTCTGGTAATTGCATTCTTCAACATTAAATATTGGTATTTCAAAAAAATCTACAAAAACTGCTAAGCTTTTAATAAAGCATAAGAACACATTAAAATCATTTGTGAATTTGTTTATCTGGGGTGAAATGATGCGGTTTAATGCTTGTCAGATTTTGTCAGCATGGTGGCATCTTATTCATCATGTATAGTGTAGATTGTAGGCTGACACATAGGAACCCAGGTGAATATAGTGCATCCAGAAAGTATGGAGAGATCTGAAAATGGCTGTGCACCGACGCTCCCCATCCAACCTGATGGAGCTTGAGAGGTACTGCAAAGAAGAATGGGAGAAATTGCCCAAAAATAGGTGTGCCAAGCTTGTAGTATCATACTCAAAACAAATTGGTGCTAAAGATGCTTGAACAAAGTATTGAGCAAAGGCTGTGAGTACTTATGTACATGTGTTTTTTTTTTTGTTTCCTTTTTTATTTTTAATAAATTGCAAAGATTTCAAAACGAACTTCTTTCACGTTGGCATTATGGAGTATTGTTTGTAGGATGTTAAGGGGAAAATTTAATTTAATCCATTTTAAAATAAGGCTGCAATATAACAAAATGTGGCAAAAGTTAAGCGCTGTGAATACTTTCTGGATGTACTGTATGTTGTCTTGTTGCAATAGTCTACCTGTTCCTGACTTAAGATCAATAGGGTATGTGCTGTTTGGCTTAGACTGAGGTCAGGCTAGAAATTAACTCATCAGAAATCATTATTTAATATGAAATCATCCTGTACAGCATGGTGACAGCATGTCCTTTTTCATTTGGAAATGAAATGTCTTTTGTGCATGATTCTTAATGTTATGATGTAAGAGAAGCGCTTTATAAATATGGTAGCATGCTGCACTAAATCTCTGCTCGGTACAAGCTGATGAGCTTTTGATAAATGAATCAAATTCTCCGAACACTGGGTCACAAATCATTAGTACTTTTGTGAGAATTTGACAAGAAGAGAGAATTATGTTGTCAAAACCCTAAATGATCCTGACAATTTTATGATTCAATTCACCTATGTAAAATAAACCATTCTTGCTTTCCCATCTAACTGTATCTGTGATAGAGGCCATTGTAAGCTCTTTATTACTTCCTATCTCCTGCTACAGTGTTTTAGCAGCTGTGAAAACCTCATGTAAAAATAATCTTTACCTTCAAAAGTCTGAACTGCAGTGGCATCATTCTATCTTTTCCAATTGGCTGGAATATTTGTTTTTCTATTGACATTAAACAAATTATTCCAAGCACATTATTTATTCCTTTAGAACAGTGTTTCTGAATCAGGATGTTGTGGGCCCCTGGGGTGCTATTTAGGTTTCTCCCAGGGTGTCACAAGCATGATATCCAGTTTGGATGGATGAGAGGATGGTGATGGGGGGACTCTGTCATGGGAGGGGGGTTGTGAAGGGGGGTCTGTTATGATGGGGGTACCTCTGATGTGATGTGGGTAAAGCTGGGTACACATGTAGTGAAATTCAGTAGGAAGGTGTCGGTAGGTGTACTTTTCTCTGTTCAACAGAAGCCGGTCTAACTACTGACGTCTGTTGAACAGTCATGATAGAAAAACAGCATTCAATCAGGCATGCAGCCAATGGCTACAGCACTGATCTGTATATTCTAAGGGGGGAGCCCCCGCTTTCAGAATGCAATAGTGCGGCAGAGAAGATCCCTGCATCCATATCGCATATGTAGATGTTTGGATGTTTCAGGGTTTGTTTGTTTTTTTTCCATTCAACCCACCAGCTGAATGAAAAAAACTGTGTTTTGGTCTAATGTGATGAGGGTACTCTGATGTGAAGAGTGGCTTCTAATGTGAAGGTCATTTCATTAAAATGGTTGTGTTCATCGTCCCAGGCCCAGGTTTCAATTTGAAAAAAAAATTGTGTTTTTACACTTGAGACTTGGGTGCCTTGAAATTTTGCATATTTGTAAAGGGTGCTGCAATGGAAACAGATTGACAAATGCTGCTTTAAAGAACAGAATTTTTTTTTTTTAATATTGTTTTGTCCATTGTTGATCATTCTGAAGGTGCTAAAAATTATCTAAGATGTGACTAGTGCAGCCTGCAATTTTTTAAAGTTCCACAGCTACTGCTTATTATCCATGACATGTTTGTATTCTTTGTTGCTTTATTAATTGTACAAGTATTTTATTTTCTCAATGGGCATTGAGTTCTAACTGTAATCTTTTTTAGCAAAGTGTGTTTCAACCTTTTTTTCATTTAAGTCCTCATACACACTTGACGTTTTTTTCTACAGCCAGTAAACTCCCCAGCATGTTATCCTATGTATCCATGCACACATAGACTGCAATCAACGGTTTTTTTTTGGCTGGAAAAACCCCCCCCCCCCAGGACTAGTGGGTTTCTAGAGGAGTTTTTTAGCTGCAAAAACACTCTAATGCTGAAAAACGCTGTAAAATGCAGCAAACTGGCGTTTTTGGACTTTTTTTTTGTCCCCCCCCCTCAATTTTTTTTGGGGTAAAAAAAAAATGCTAAAACCGCAAACGCTGGAAAACTCTGCTAATCACGGCTAAACGCTAATGCAAAAACGCTAAAAAAATCTGAAAACCGCACGTTTTTAATGTGATTTTACACAGCTAATGTTACCAGCGTTATCAAATGCCCAGTGTGCATGGAGCCTAAGAGCTGCTCTATGTATGTAAAACACGCAAAAGGGTGCTGGCATGATTTTTAAAATTGTACAGCACCAAAACACATAGTACTATGATACCTTGTGCTTTAGCGAGAACGAAACATGTGCATTTGCTAGATGCATGGGGGGTGTCATTAAGAATTAATGGCACCCACGCTTGTCTGCAAAATTCAGCACTGTTTTGTGCGGTACGGGAAACTTTGTGACTTTGCACGTTACCGCACTACACCTGGTGTGAACAAGCCCTAAAATATACTCTGTGAGGAAGAGTTCAGTTGTCTAAACCCCCCTCCCCCCAAATCCCCCCTTTTAGCACAAACCCTCCCAAATCCCCACTCCTAGCACACCCCCCCATCCAAATCACCCTCCCAGCACAACCCCTCAAAATCGCCCCTCCTAGCACAACCCCCTCACCCAAATCATCCTCCCAGCACAGCCCCCGACCCAAAATCCCCTCTCCTAGCATAATCTCCCCACCTGCTTTCAAATCCCCCACCTAGCACAACCCCCCCCCCCAACAGTAGTGACAAGAGCAGCGCGGGGGAGAGAGACAGGAGGGTGTTTGGGTTGTTCTTCTCTCTCTCTCTCTCTCTCTCTCTCTCCCCCCCCCCCCAGCTACTCTCCATCCTCTAAATTCAGATCTGAGTGATCCTCATTCCTCTGACTCCTGTGCTAAATGAGGCAGAGAGCGCTGTAAAGTCCTATGTACAGAAGAGGCAGAGAGCTCATCCTGCATATCCCCGGTTTTCTGCTCCTCTCTGTAGTCTTGCTGGCAAATCCTTAGCAACCAATGCCTTTATTGGTTGGTAGGATGCGGTCGGGTGGCCAGCTCAGATTGTTTTGTTTTGTTTTTCTTTGTATGAGTACAGAGAGGAGCAGAGAGTAACATGACTTTTCAGTGCTCTCTGATGATACAGGAGCTAACAGAGATTGAGGATCACTCAGCTGTTGCCGTGGCACCCCTGAGGACCCCATATGGCACCCCAGGGTGCCGCGAACCCTGGTCGAGAAACACTGTTTTAGCATTTACTTCCTCTGTCCTTAAAGTAGAACTAAACTCTTTCAGAAGAATAGTTTGAGGATCTCTAAGTTAAAAGAAATATTGCTTTCCCCTTACATTGTTCCTGTTTGTGCACATCCTGTACACTCTTTGTATGAACTCTCTGTAGATGTGTGGGTTCTCCAGTGCTGGTTGAACATCACAGTAGTATGTATGGTGTAGGTATGGTGAAATGTGCCAGTGCACTGTGTGTTGACTTCATTGTTTGTATTCCAATTCGGGAACATGCAGGAAAAGGTGACAATAATGCAACTGAACTGATGTCACTCTAGGAAAGGATACAACTTGCTGGTATAATCCCAAGTTATAATTTAATAAAAAGAAGGGGATAACAAAAAAGGGTTCATTGTTTTGCCATTGCAGGAGCATAAGCTACACCTTATTTTTTGGTGTTTAGATATACTTTCTTAGCACGTGTCTCATAAATTACAATATTTTATCATTGGGCTGATTTAACAGCGTTTTACTTTATTTATTCCTATTAGGATAGCTGGGAGATTGTAGAAGGCCTTCGGGGGGAAGCAATAACTGCACCCAGGAACCACAGAAACAAGAAGGCTTCCTGTTGAAGAGAAGGAAATGGCCTCTCAAAGGCTGGCATAAGGTACGTGTGTGTAACTTTTATCCTGCTTATGGGTTTGCAGGACTATTGTAGTTTGTGGTTTACAGTTTTTTTGTAAAGTGCATAATATAGTCTTTAAACAGAAGTTATTGACATATTGCTATGCTACTATTACGAATCCAGAAAACAAAGAATTTACCCATTCTGCTTAAATGTCTTTTGAGCTTGTTAATTTTCAATACTACAATATAGAAACATTGGTTTTGGTGGTGTATGGCATTGGAAAGGGATACAAAGAAATAAAAATATTTTTTGACATTGTAGGAACATGCCCAACAATATTTTTTTTTTGGGGGGGGGGGGTTGTAAAAATGTAATCTTGAAAGTGTATGTCACATCTAAAACCTTATTATTTCTCTTCCATTGAAGGACACAGGATCTTTTAGACTGTTGGGTTATACTGCAGCTTACAAGAAAAGTGGACACTGGCAACAGCAAAAAAAACACTTTCCAGCACAGGACAACCCCCCACCCCCCTCCCCAACAACCATCAAACATTTTTGCTATTGTCCTTGGGAGAATGGATATGGTTTTCTTCAGCTCTGCTGTCCTGTGCGGTTTGTAACAGGCTCTGTAGGACAATGAGGCTTTGATTGTCTAGAAGTTGCAGTGGGTCAGGTTGGTCCAGAACCTTCAGAAATCATTGTTGCAATCAACAATTTGAATAAATAGATTTAGGTCTGGACGCAGCTCTGGTTGGAGTGTTTCTTCCTCAAGAAAACCTTCAGACTTTCCAGTCTCAGATTAGAGCTTGCCCGTCCAGGAGTCGCCTGACTCTGCTTTAGCATGAGGGGCCTGGGCCCAATAGTAGCCTCCCTTGAGAAAGTTCCAGTTGCCCAGTTTTGCTCCAGACATCTACAGCGCAATGATCTGTCATCATAGGACAAGTTAATCAGATCCCTGGACAAACTGATTAATTTGGCTCAGAGGATCAGGTTATCAGTGGCCTTTTGGCTCAGAAAACCTACTCTGGAATCAGGGATTTGCTTCATTCCCATATTTTGGAAGATCCTCACAATGGATGCCAGCCTATCAGGGTCCTGGGCACCTGTTAATGTAATAGATTTGTTCATCGTCGCTGGAGTCTTATCGCCTGATCAAAATCCTGAAACTTTGGGTGATTTGACTGTCTCTGCATTGTTGGACTGGTCTGCTTGAAAGTCACACAACCCAGGTTCAGTCAGACAGCTCAATGGTGTACATTAACCATCAGAAAGAAATCACAAGTGTCACCGTGGCAAGTCAGATTATTCAGATCCTGAATTTCACATTCCCAATTTTTCTGCCCAGGTGCAGATAATTGGCACGCAAACTTCCACAGTTGGAAGCACCTGGACCTGGAGGAAGTGGTCTTTCTATATCCAAAGGTGTTCCTGGACCTGTGTCACAGATGAAGAATGCCGAATGTGGTCCATCTGCCCTTCAGGTTCAGCAACATACCGGAAAGGTTTGTCTCCATGTTACATGGATCCTCTGGCTTAAGCAGAGGAGTGGCTGCTCTAGTGACTCGGTAGTACTCCATGATCCATGTATTTCCTTCCCTGAAACGTCCTTAATGATTCAAAGGATTGAAACGGAAAACATTCCAGTTATCCTCAAATGTGGTATGCGAACCTTGTAAAACTCCTGGCAGATGACCTGTGGATTTTGTCAGATTGTGAGGAGCTCCTGACCCAAGGACCATTTGGCCATCCTACTTCACATTCAATGGCTAAAATGGCATAGCTGTTGAAGGCCTTTTTTTGTTAGTGACATCTCTGATGTGTTTCCTAAGATATCAATAGGAAGGTTAGGAAGGCAGATTACAGTAAGCTGTATCATCAGACGTGAAAAGCATACTTCACTTGGGTGTGAGTCTCAGGGTTTACACCCTAAGAAATTCCCTGCGGGATGAATCTTCTCATTCCTACATCTGGGACTAGTCTAGCTTGTGGCTCCCATCATTTTCAAAAGCTAGGTGTGTCTGTCTGGTCTTATTTCTGAGACTGTTGGTCTTTCATTTCTTGATTTAGACTTTTGTACACGGAGTCTCACATGTAGCTCTCTGTTTGTTCCCCTGTGACACTGTTGGATCTGAATCTGGTTCTCTCTCCTTCAGAGATCACTAAGTGAACCCTTTAAAGACATTCACTTACATAGTCACATAGTTAGTCTGGCTGAAAAAAGACAAAAGTCCATCCAGTTCAACCATTAAAAAGAGGAAGGCAAAAAACCCAGTAAAGCATGATCCAATTGCTCTTGCAGGGGAAAAAAATCCTTCCTGATCCCCTGAGCTTGGATATTCCCTGGATCAACCTTACCTATAAATGTTAGTATCCAGTTATAGTCTGTGTATCCAAAAAAGAGTCCAGGCCTTTTTTTAAAGCAATCTATTGAGCTGGCCAGAACCAACTCTTGAGGGAGTCTATTCCACATTTTCACAGCTCTTACTGTGAAGAAACCTTTCTGTGTTTGGAGATTAAATTTCTTATCCTCCGGATGTAAAGAGTGCCCCCTTGTCCTCTGTGATGACCTCAGGGTGAATAACTCTACACCAAGTTCACTATATGAACCACTGATGTATTTATACATGTTGATCATATCCCCCCTTAATCTCCTCTTCTCAAGAGAGAATAAATTCAGTTCCTCTAATCTTTCCTCATAGCTGAGCTCCTCCATGCCTCTTATCAGTTTGGTTGCCCTCCTCTGTACTTTCTCCAGCCCTCCAATGTTCTTTTTGTGAATTGGTGCCCAAAATTGAACTGCATATTCCAGATGAGGTGTTACTAATGATTTGTACAGGGGTAATATGATATCTCTCTCTCTCTGGAGTCTATACCTCTTTTAAAACAAGAGAGGATTTTGCTCGCTTTATAAACCGCAGCTTGGCATTGCATGCCATTATTAAGCTTGTGATCTACCAGAACTCCCAGATCCTTCTCCACCATTGATTCCCCCAGTTGTACCCCCCCCCCCCCATATGTATGATGCATGCATATTCTTAGCCCCCGAGCATAACTTCACATTTATCAACTCTATTTTTCTTATTTGCTACATAGTTGCCCAATTAAACAGTGCATGGAGGTCAGCTGGTAAGTTGGAGACATCCTGTAATGACGTTCCACTGCACAGCTTGGTGTCATCTGCAAAGACTGAAATGGTATTTTTAATCCCAGACCCTATATATATATATATATATATATATATATATATATATATATATATATATATATATATATATATATATATATATACACTGAACCTTGGGGTACACCACTGACAACCCTAGACCATTCAGACTATGAATCATTAGCCACTACTCTCTGAATACAATCTCTTAGCCAGTTTTGTATCCATTTACATACAGATTTTCTACTTTAGCCCACAAGGTATTTTTTTTTCCTTTGTGATACAAGTGTCTGAACTGACAGCCTTAACCTTTTAAGGAGAACTATCTTGTTTTGTATAGGGACATGGTGGTGTTGAAGCTCAGAACATCTTTCTTTTCTAAGGTAGTTCTGACTTTCACCTAAGCCAGTTATACATATTGTTCTCCTGTCCCTTTATTTGGCTGTAGTTGATCTTAAGGAAAATTGCCTTCACTGTCTGGATGTGTTTTGGACAGTGAGAATTTATTTCTCAGCTGATGCTTCTTCAGGAATACTGAATCATTTTAACTTCAGTATGGACCCCTGTAAGCCTTCACTGGCTTCCTAGTCCACCATCTGTAGGTGACTTGTGTAGACCATTATCCAAAGTTATGGTTTTAGATTTGGGTTCCATCCTTACCTTTCAAGGTGTACACTACCAGAATGGCTCTTGCTCTTTTCGGCATCAAAAACTTTTCTCAGTTTGCAAGGCATTCTGGTCTTCTATTTTCATTTAACCGGGAAATTATTCAGACCTCGTGTAACTTGAGCTTTGTGTATTAGGTCCTACAGGTGGCTACTTGAGCTGCAGGCAGTCCCCAGTTTGCTGTTGTTTTTTTTCTTGGGTTTGTTAACCTTGTTTCTCTATAGCTCACCCCTTTCTTGATTGTTTTTGGATGTCCTCATAGTCTAAAAATTCCTGCAGCCCTCAATGGACAAGAAAGAAAGTAGAATTTTTGTATTCACTGAAAAATACTTTTCTTGGAGTCTATTTTGAGTACACAGGTCCCTACTGTCTGTTTAAATTCATGCTCTCACTTTGCTGCAAAACCAAGGCATGATGGTTGCGAACAGGCTTATCCAGTGATTGCCAGTGTTTTTTCTTTTTTTTGCCAGTGTTCACTTCTCCTGAGGCAGAAGTATAACCTGACATACCAAGAATTCCATTGTCAAATAATTACGCTGTTAGTCTGGTTGAAAGAAAAGACACAAGTCCACCTAGTTCAATAAAAAAAAAAAAAAAAAAAAAAAAATATATATATATATATATATATATATATATATATATATATATATATAATTACAATTCTATACCCACAGTTGATCCAGAGGAAGGTACCCTCCCCCATCCCAGCAGAGCATGATCCAATTTTGCTCCAGCATGGGAAAGAAATTTCTTTCTGATCCCCCAAGTGGCAATAGGATATTTCCTGGACCAACTTTACCTATAAATGTTAGTATACAGTTGTATTATGTCCCTCAAAGGACTCAAAAGAATTTTAAAGTGACTACAAAAATAATATTTTTCTAGTTTGGGATAGAGTGGGGAAGGATTAGGAACTCCTGTATTGTTTCCATTGCTTTTCAGAGTGGGCTCTGATAAATTTACTGGTAGGACAGCAAGTGAGGGAAAATCTGCAACAGAGATAAAATAAAAAAAATCTGAAACGGGGTCTAGCCCTACATACCCTACTTTACTCCTGTCTGGTAAAACATCAGCAGGAAAAAAAGTGAGGGTACATCCCCTAAATGAACAATAGCAGTAAAAACCTGGTGGGGGTTCCGACTGTTTCCCTCTCTATTCAAAACTAAGAAAAACATTTTTGTAGGACTTTTTAACCTTGTTGATGTAGG